TGTGGCTCTCTTCTCTTCTCTTCTGAGTATATATTATTGTTCATAGACACTGCAGTTTGAGGGCCATCACTGTGCCTCCAGAAAACGGAACTCAACCTGTGCTCCCCCAGCTGTCCTCATGTCAGGATGCCTGGGAGACAGAGCTGGGAAACACCAGCGCACAGAGCGACATTCGTCCTGTTACCAGGCCCAGACAGGACATACTGCAGCACCTGCTGGGACCCAACCACAGGTGACAGAAGACCCGGAGGGAGAGGCAACCTGGCCCCATGGGGCTCTGCTCTGAAGGGGGTGGCAACTCTGCCGAGGAGATCCCGGATTCCTCACATGTGGAGCTATCTTCCATGAGACACGGAAACAGAAGGAACAAATCAACAGCAACTTGCAACACATGAAGTATTTTTCAAACCTAAAAAAAGCATCACCCAGCAGAGGCCCGGCATTTAATAAGCTGCTTTTCCCCAAAAGGCACCAGAGGTCAGTTTCATTGTCAAAAAAGCTTCAACTCAAAGGTCCCTTTTCCAGAGGAGGATGAGACAGTGAGCAGCTGAATGGGGTGTCTGGGGGGTGCAGGGGGCAAAGGGTTAGCGAGTCCTAACCACTGGCTGTAGAGCTGTCACATTTCCCAGAAGGTGGATCCTCCAGCCCTCCCTCCCTCCCTTCCTCTTCCTTTCCTATTATTTTTTATCAGAAAAATAAATGTTCTCATTAAAAAACAAAACAAAACAAAACAATAGCACTACAGGCTTCTAATGAAAGCCGGTGGTCCCCCAGTCCTGCCCCAGCCTCCAGCCCTGTTCCTGCAGATGCCGCCTTCCGGCTGCTTGACTCTCACTCTTGTCGGTCATCCTCAGTCCTAAGGCCACACCACTATTCTTTTTATTTTTTAAAGATTTATTTATTTATGCACACAAGAGCTGGGGTACAGGTCAGAGGTGCGGGGGTGAGAGGATTCACCAGAGACAGAGTGGGGAACAGAATAGGCAGACTGACCGAAGTACACTGCTGAGGGGAGCAGCGAGCGAGACAGGAGAGGTCTGCTGCGCCATGTGGGTTGCTCCCTGGCCAGCTGGGGATCGAATTCGTACTACAGAGACTGCAGATTGCTTCATAGTGCAGTGCGCAACCCCTTGCACCACAAGGGAGGCCCTTACACAACCATTCTTAAGTTTCAGCTTTATATATTGTTTATTGATCTTTTTATGGCAGATGAGAATTTCATTTTTTTTTTAAAAGCCTCTTTTTTTTTTTTTTGAAAGATTTATTTATTTGTGTAAGAACCAGGGTACAGGCCAGATGCATGGGAGGGTGAGAGGATTCACCAGAGACAGAGCGGGGAACAGAACAGGCAGACTGACGAAATACACTGCTGAGGGGAGCAGCGGGCGAGACAGGAGAGGTCTGCTCGCCATGTGGGACCCTCGCCTACCGGTGGGGATCAAACCAGCGATGCAGAGGCTGCAGACAGCTTCACAGCGCAGTGCTCAACCGCCTGTGCCACCAGGGGAGGCCCGAGAATTTCTTTCTTTTATACTCTGTCCCTCCCATTGTAGCAAAGCCAGAGTATTTGCATTATTATCATAACATTGTTGTTCGCTGTACATTAAGATGAACTTACCTGTCTTGTATAATTTTTTAATTTGCATTAAGTTCATCGTTGCCCCCACACCCTGCTTTCACCATTTCTTGTGTGTCTGTGATCCTATCTGTTCTGCCTAGGTGCTTCGAAACCCCTTTCCCCCTGGGGTGAGGCCCAGGTGAGGTAGTGGGGTTTTCTCTGGGGAGCTCCCTGCTTCTCTTTCTGCTGGGGTTGTCTGGGTATCCCTCTGCTGCTCTCCTCTGTGGCTCTCCGCAGCCGGGCTTGGGAATTCCTCCTTCTCAGTTTACACCTTTGTACAGCACTCTTTTCTAGAGTTTGCTGAGAAAGGCAGGAGGAGAAGCAAACTTTTCTCTGCCTAGCATGTCTAAAAGGTTTCATTTGACCTTACTTTTAATAGTTGACTGTAAATAGAATTTCAGGTTGCAGCCTATTCCCTCCTAACTTCGAAGTTGTTTTTACAATATCTTCTGATTTTTGAGTCTGGTGCCATTTGGATTCCTGATTCTCCTGCGGTTCTATCTCTAGGGATTTTCTCCACCTTCTCTCCACCCTCCACCCCCCACCCCCACCCCCGAACTGGCTTTTTTGCCACTTGTGAGCTAGGCTCTCCTTGCATGGCCTCCACCTGGAAATCTGGGTCCATCCTACATTCATTCTCTGGTCATTTCTTCTCTCTTTGCTTTCTTCTGGAGCCCATATTAACCTCTAGTACTATTGGTTTTTGTATTTGTTTTAATGAGAACATTTATTTTTCTGATAAAAAATAATAGGAAAGGAAGAGGAAGGGAGGGAGGGAGGGCTGAAGGATCCACCTTCTGGTTTTATCTAATTTTCTTGTATTTTATCTCCCGATTCCTTTTTGTTTTACCTTCTAGGAGATTTCCTTAACTTTGTTCCAACTCATAATTCTTTTCAAAAAATTTCTCCTATAGGGCCTCCCTGGTGGCGCAAGGGGTTAAGCACCACACTATGAAGCAATTCGCAGCCTCTGCAGCACGAGTTTGATCCACACCCAGCCAGAGAGAAACATACATGGCAAAGCCCGCTGCTACCCTCAGCAGCGTGTTTCAGTCAGTCTGCCTGTTCTGTTCCCCACTCTGTCTCTGGTGAATCCTCTCACCCCCATGTCTCTGGCCTGTACCCCAGCTCATGTGTGCCTAAATAAATCTTTTTTTAAAAATTTCTCCTATAGCAAATATAAACCAGAGATACACTACAGGGGGGGAGAAGGGAGTAGGATCAAAACAAGGGTGGTAGGAATTTTACGGGGACTATAACCAAGATGAAAATGCATACTTTGTGCAAAAATGAAAAATGATGTAAAAAATATATAAAATAAGAAAAAAACTGTAAAAAATAAAGTCTAACCAAAAAAAGAAATGAGGTGGATCACTGTATACTGACATGAAGTTATATTTTAATTTAAAAAGTTGTAGAGGGCCTCCCCAGTGGTGCAGCCGTTGAGCGCTGGGTCACAAAGCTGCCCGCAGCCTCTGCAGTGCCGGTTTGATACCCAACTGCTCCCCGGCCACTGGAGGAGGGTCCCACATGGCGCGCAGACCTCTCCTGCCGCCCGCTGCTCCCCTCAGCAGTGTACTTCGGTCTTTCTGCCTGCTCTGCTCCCTGCTCTGGCTCTGGTGAATTCTCTCACCCTCCCGTGCTTCTGACTGTACCCAGTGCATGTATAAATAAATAAATGAATCTTTAAAAAAAAAAAAAGTTGTAGAAAGTTAAAAAAAAAATTCTCCTATATTTGTAAGCTTCAAAGGCCCTTTCTGATTCCTTGATTATTCCTGTGTTTATAACACCCATTACTTGTTTCTTGGATGCAAAATTCTCATAAGACTGTGAGAAAAATAGAGGGAGTCACAGGGAATTAGGGAATTTTGTAAAATAAGTTGGCATACACCAGCTTTCAGAGTCCCACCAGCCTCTTCCTACCCAGTCTCATCTGGGGCAAGAATGGTCCGGGAGGTGGGAGAACAGTTCACTTAACAGCATAAGCGCTGAAGTTGTGATTCCTCTCGCAGAGGTACAGAGATACACCCTAGGGAGTTTGGAGGATGCGTGTCCTTCCAAATATCCATGGCATCACCCCATCATGTATGCTGTGTCCTGACCTCCTAGCCACAAAGATGATTTGAGAGCCTGGCAGATTTCAAGGGTAGAAGTATAGATGGGGCAGGTTGCAGTGTTCCCAAGGCAGCTTATCTTGTTGCCATAGCAACAAGGTCCTGCCTCCATCCTGCAGTCCTGGTGTTTTAGCGGGTGGAACACTATGGGGTTTCACAGGTTGGTGGTGGGCCCCCAACCCTTCCAGGGAAGAACATTTCCATTCCAGACTGGGCAGGGAAGGGCATCCTGAGGCTATGAAATAGGGCTGGTGTTTCTTGTGGATATGCTATCTTCCTATACAACCCCAGCTCCCCAGTTCCTGGGACCTCCACCAATGTCCCTACCAGGCAGCTCACCTTTTCCCGAGATCCACCATGGCTGACTCAGACGGAGACCCTGCTCCAGTAGACAGGGCAGTGGTGGGGGCCAGGCTCTGGTGCAAGTCCTGGCTTTTTAACGGGTGGAACACTGTGGGGCTTCATGAGGTGGTGGTGGGGCCCAACCCTGGCTTCCCAGCCACATGGATGATCTGAGAGCCTGGTATATTTCAAGGGTAGAAATGTGGGTGGGCCGGCAAGTCTGATGAGACTTGCTACTCATTGGCTGTGTGCCTGGTGTGAGCTTTTGAGCTTTGGGAACCTCAGGATTCTCCCAGTGAGGTTGGACATAACCCTGGGCTGTTACAACAAGGACACAGGGAAGTGACACATGAAAAGTGCTAGACCCAGCAAGGGCTTCTCAGATGGGGACATCCCTTGCAGGCAGACTAGAGCTTGGGGCCAAGCTGCCCAGCAGAGGTGCCTCTGTAGGCTGGGGAGATGCACAGCGGGCAGGGCAGTGGCTGGCATCACCAACCACCTCCACTTGCCAGCAAACTCCCCTGGGCAAGGGGAAGGGGCTGACATTGGTCCGCGCCAGCCAAATGGCTGCTCTGCGGTGGGGGGGGGCTTGGGGGGGGCGCCGGGGGACCGCTCAGTCCCTTCCCATTGGGCTTCTTTTCAGTTATCTTTAAATATTTGCAGTGATTTGTTTGTATGTGTGTGTAAATGTCCTGCTCGCCCAGAATTGGGGAGAAACTGCCTGGTCCTTCACCACAGCTGGTCTGAGAAGCACAGATTTGATAAGCTAAGTCACCTGAGACCTGCTAAAGATCCAGCTGAGGAAAGAAGGGGAACGAGCTGTTAGCAGCAATGGCAAAATCAGCCACAAATCACACCGGGTGAGTCGGCACATTTCCTTTATTGATTCTGGACAGAACTCCAGCCCCCATCCCCTGCTCCAGGCCTCAGCCCCGCAGGCTGGGAGCCCTCTTCAGGGGTTTGGAGTTCACGGCCTGGCATCCCCGCCCCTCTGCCTCCGGAACCGCCTGCCGCTTGCCATAGCGCAGGCCGAAGGAGTTCCAGTTGTAGGTGGACAGATCCTTCTCCCGCTGCACCAGCACCGCGCCCCGGGGCGCGGGGATCTGGCGGCTGCCGGGGGCACACAGGCCGGGTTGCTGGGTCACGGCGGGGCTCGCTGGAGGTGGGCACAGCGGGGCTCCGCGGGGGTTCGGCCCAGCACCAGCCGGCTTCCTCTCCTCGCAGCTCGGGCTCTGCTCCCAGGGGCGGCGGAGGGCCTGGCGTTGCAGCCCCAGGCCTAGGACAGAGCCACAGAGAAGCTGCCCAAGACGGCCCCTGGCAGCCTGCTTGGGAACCCCTCCTCACACCCTCTTCCTCGCCTTCTCATCCGGAAGCTCCGCGTGCATGGCAGGGGCCAGGGCGCCTGCATCTTGGTGTGGAGGCTTGGATCATTTGCTCCTCCCTGCTGCCACATCACTTTGGTTTCGAAAGTGTTCCAGAATTCTCTTAAATCTCTTTTATATTAATTCTTCTTTTCAGAAGAAAATAAGGTGCAACTTGGAAATAAAACTGAAGTATTTGCTGACCGCTGAGCTTGGTGCCTGGCTCTCTGTGGGCTGCCTCGGCAGCCCCACTGGACTGAGCTCTCCTGGGGTGATGCCAGAGCATCCCTGAATCAGAGTGCTTGAAACAGTGCCTTGTGCATAACGGGGCCTTAATAAATGTGTGTTAAATGTATAAAGCTAAGGAGCTTGTAGTTGCCGTCATCAAGAAAGTAGAACTAAAACAATTTTGCCCCTGGCCCCCTAATATTTGTGGCCCCCTCAAATAAGTTATACAGGACTCAGCGAAGAATGGGAAATCATCTGGGTCACTTTAGCCACCTCCCCTTCCCCACTGGGGTGAAATCTCTCCCCTTCATGCAGAGGCTAAGAGGCTCATTTGGAAGCTCTTCACACGTGAGGCTCCTTCACTGCTATTTTGGGCAGTAAAGACGCGCAAATGACTGGGAGCAGACCCTGCCCCCAGCCAACTGTGGCAGGAGATTAGTGGAAATGAGGCCTGATGGGTGAGTGGGTGTGTGTGGGGTGGGGACTGGCATTGAGCCCTGCTCCTCAATCTTCTGGCACTGGTTGGAGAGAAGTGAGAGTTTGGGGGGCAATTATACAGTTTTCCTGCGGCCCCACCCCCTGCTTAGGGCCTGGCTGAGATTGTAAGGGGCCGCAGCTTCCTTCCCAGCTCACCCACAATCCCAGCAGTAGGGTCACCAAAAGGAGTCAAGGGCTCAATGTCTGGGGGAGCAGTGGTGCGGTTATTCTTGGAGTGGGGGCACCCTTCCTCCCAGAAAGAACACTTGATCCCAGGAGAGAAGACTCTCTTATCAAAGGACACCTGGGGTGGGTTCTCTTGGGACATCTGGGGTATCTCATGCACGGTGATACGCTTGCACGCAGAACATGCTCCGAGCTCCGCAGATGAGCAGCTGAGGTCCAGGGACACTAAGCCGCGGTTCTAGTTTATCCAGAAAGATGACCACCAGGATTAGACCCCCCCATTCCTGCCTTGGGGGTTGGCACCATTCCAACTCGGGCCACTCAGACACACTCCAGGGACCTTTCGTTCCTCTGGGGATTCTGCAGCATTTGCTTGAGTGGCTTTGGGAAGGTTGCTTTACCTCCCATTTCTCCAGTGTATCAGTCCCACAACAAACTTGTAAAGTGACAGGTATTAGGACCTGTCCTTTTGTTTAGGATTTTTTTTAATTCCCCACAAAGAATCTGAGCTTATTAATAAAAGAAACATGCCTAGCAAATTCCTTCCCAATGGACCTGCCCAGAGGCGATGGTGGGTAAGCAGCGAAAGCCATGAGGGTCTGGATAACAAGCGCCTGAATGTGGGTGAGCCCCCGCGTCATGATATCAGCATGCCATCCCTTACTTGCAAGGTTAATGGGGTCCCTCAATGCCTGCGTAAACCCTGCCTTAGGTTTTCCATTAAATGCAGTGTGGAACACACGTCAGATGATAACTATGATCCGAAAGAATAAATCTCATCTTGCAACAACTCACTGGCTCCCTCCCCCCTGCTCCCTGACAACACATACCTGTGCATCTGGGACTCTCCCCAGGCACCACCTTTTCTGATGTCTCCCTGAAGGAGGTGGCACAGAGGAAAAGCATCAGCTGCCAGTAGACCAATGAGTTCATCCTGGTAAGCAGACAGGTCCTGGAGGTGTCCTGAGGCCAGACGGAGGGAGGACCAGGTCAGGCACAGGGGCTGGGCTGCGGCTGCATTAGGAGCCCTCCCTGGGAAGAGACAGCCCTGGCTGAGGAGGCCCCAGGGCTGGGGGTACCTGAACAGACACATGGAGGTGAGACTGGGCCCACTTGCACAATACAGCCAAAGTGGGCTCCTGCAGGCAGGCTTGCTGGGGGCAGTCATGTTAAGAGGAAGGATCCAGACTGTGGGAGGGCTAGGGTTGCTCAGGCTGCAGAATGCCCAGGACTTGCATCTCAGGTTTGCTGGAGAGGAATGTCGGAGAATTGAGGGCTGAGATGCCGTGTGTGGGAGCTAATGGGGAAGGGTAAAGGGACCAGGCGGGCCGTGGAGTGGAGGATGTTGAGGTCCACAGTTGCATAAATCCAGGACTTCCTATGCTCCCAGCTTCCCATTCAAATGTGCCTTCTCTGACCTGGTCCTGTTCCCTTCTGCTGAAATAGAAGCTTAATTCTTTTCCCTTTCCAAGAAAAAAGGAAGAGAGGCAATCACCACAGCCTTGATGGCCATCATTAAATTGTCTTATTGCTATAATTCAGGGAAGAGAAAAACCTTTCTATGATTTTTTCAGGTCAATTGTGTCCATATTCTATTCCCCGTGGGCTCCGAGGACAGAAATAGAATTGACCTCATGATTTTGGCTATTGAGATGGGACCTATGTACCCTGACCCTCACTTCACCCCCTTTGCCCACTCATTCCCTACCCATACCTCACCCAGCTCCCAAGTCTAATTTCTCTCTGAAAAAGGCTCTTTGAAACTGTCTAACAAATATGATTGAAGACAGCTGATGGGGAGGAAACTGGCCTGCAGGCTGAGCAACATGGAGTTCGTGCCACACATAAAGCCTGAGGCCCCTCTCTGGGGGCTGGGGGCAAGAGGGAGGGGTGGGGCGGTCATTAGCAGTGTCTGTCAGCTCCTACTGGTTGCTTAGCACCCCCATTCCTCTGTTCTTGTCCCCATTCCTGAGCCCTACCCCACCCTGCCCTCCCAGACTCAGACATGGGTAGGGGCTCAGCACCCTTAAATGTGATCAGGAGTGCTGAAAGCTGACCCAGCTCTGCCCTCTATCCCTGCATGATGTGAGTGAGCCGCCCCATCTCTGGGCTTTATTGGCCTGTCTGCAAAATGAGACCACTGGGGGCATCCCTTGTGGCACAAGGGATTAAGACTAGGCATTATGAAGCTATCAGCTGCTGCTGCATGATTTTGATCCCTGGCCAGGGAGCTGACCCACATGGTGCAGCAGACCGAGACATGGTGTCTTACCCGCTGCTCCCCTCAGCAGTGTATTTCATTGGATCTGCCTGCTCTGTTCCCCACTGTCTCTGGAGAATCCACTCACCCCCCCACACCTCTGGCCTATACCCCAGCTCTTGTATGCATAAATAAATAAAATAAATCTTAAAGAAAAAGAAGAGCACTGGACAGTGGCTGCCTCGGGGTCGTTCATCCTTCAATTCAGTGATGCCCTGACACCCAGACCACAGCTTCCTGCACCTGCTCTAGGGAATGGGTGTAGAGACAGGATCAACCCCTTACAGGGACCAATGTAAAACCAGTTCTTCTGTGGCTTCACACTGTGGAGGCACAGAGTCCTAGGGAGCTCAGAAATCCTTCTTTTTTTTTAAGTATTTTTTTTATACTTGAAATCACCAATTTGTTTCTACCCTTTCATTCAATCTTTTTGGACACATATAAATAAGCAATTTGAAATACAGTTTGGGGAACTTGTGATTCATCATGTCCTTTGAATTTATGCCACACAATTTAAAAGCTGACTTGAAATTCTTTCTGAGGCTGTTAGAACAAATCTATGATTCAGACGATTTTTACAATTTAAACAAAGTGCACATGTCAGCCAGTCAGTCACTGAGCTCCAGAACCTGCAGAAAATGAGTGGGGCAGCCAGACGTCTGTTGACAATTTAATCCTTACTTAAGTGTGTGTGAACTCATTCTGAAGTCAGGATGTTCTGGACTGTTTTAAAATGTTCTGTTTAAGAAAATCCAATTTAAACTGAAAATGAGCAGTGCTGGAGCAGGACCGCTGATGAAGGGCAGAAGTCACTCCCTGAGGCCTGAGTGTGGTGCTAGGAGCACAGGTGAGCTAAGACATGGGGCTGCCAACCCCCATGCCTGCCCACCCACCCATGCACGTGCACACACACTCAAATCTAACACACAACACTGAATCACAAGCACATCATTTCAAAATAGCTGTAAAGGGCCTCCCTGGTGGCCCAAGGGTTTAAGCACAGCACTGGGAAGCTATCCGCAGCCTCTGCAGTCAATCCTGGGCTGGCCAGGCAGCTTCTCATATGGCGCAGCAGACCTCTCCTGTCTTGCCTGCTGCTCCCCTCAGCAGTGTATCTCAGCCTGCCTGTTCCCCACTCTGTCTCTGGTGAATCCTCTCACCTCCCGCATCTCTGGCTTGTACCCCAGCTCTTATGTGCATAAATAAATAAATCTTTTTTGTTTATGTATTTTTTTTTCTGCAGGGAGTGGCACTTGAATTGAGTCTCTGAGCACAAACAAAGGTCTAAGAAGGCAATCCCTGCAGCAGGCAAGGGGCTGAGGGTAGAGGGGCTGCAGGTCTGCGGGAGAGGAGACAGGGGAGCGGGCCACGCAGGGCCTTCCTCTTTTGTGAGTCTGAGCCAGAGGGAGTGGGTGAGACTGCCGCCAGATGGAGCATTCTGGGTGCTCAGCAGAAGCAGACTGTGAGTGGGGGAGGGCAGTGGGCAGGCGGTGCCTGAGAAGGTCCTACTTCTTCCATGCTGCCCTCATGGGCACTGTTCCTCCCCACCACAGGGTGCCAAGTTTTCCCTTTCCCTGTCCCCAGCACACACACTCCCCCAATGTAAGGTCACTGTGCAGCAGGGGTTGAGGTAGGGGGTGGCATTATCTTCCAAGGGACCTTGAATAGTTGACCTGCCGTGGGCCATTTTTATGGTCTCCTCCACCCAGGGGTTCCTGCCTGGTGACTTATCCCAGGCCAGGGTAGAGAGCTCTGAAGTGGGGGGCTTCCCTCCTGAGTGACTCCCCTCCTTCCTCCAGGGGGCTGGCAGGGGGTTCTGAGCTGAGGCTCCTGCTTGCCAGACCACAAGTGTGGGAACCATGAACGTCAAAGAGGCTCCCAGTTCCTTCCAGAAGCCACAGCCTCCAATTCCAGCCAGAGTTCATTTATTCTTGCCACAAAAGGGAGGGTCCTGTCTTCACAAACACAGTGCAAGTCAGTGTATTCAACCTGACGACCCAGACTGATCCGACACCCTGGTCATCGGGAAAAAATCAGTGCCCCCCGAGCCCCCCAACCTGCCTGGGACACTTCTATCAGTCTTTGCTCTAAATTCCTGCTCCCATCCGGAGCCCCCGTGTCCACAGAGCGGTGTCGCCTGTGCCTACCTGGGTTCCGTCCTGGCCTGGGAGCTCCGCGGGGCCTCTGAGATGAGGCTACTTGTGTGGGTGGACACGGCAGGAGGGGAGCTGGGCTCCTGGACTTGCGGTCCCCCAGCTTCCTGGCCAGCTCCCTTATAAAGCCCAGGGTGATGGCTTGAGACATAGGTCCCCCTCTGCCCCCCTCTCTCTTTCCTCGGAGCACGGCGTCTGCCGCCTCCTGGTTCTCATGATGAAATCCGCCTCTTCTCCCCCGCCCCCCAGAAGCCCTTCGGGGCTGGCTCTTGAGTCCTACTAGCTCTTTTTATCCTCCTCACTGTCTTCCTCCAGGCCCACTCAGTTAGAGAGACCCATTTTGCCCCAAACAATGTGAAAATGGACTAGTTGACACGTGGCGTCGTCATAAATACACCAAGTCCAAAGCGAGCGGCTAACGGGAGGAGTGGGCAGGGCAGGGCACGTCTGGGGGCCGGGAGCCCTGCGTGCTCCCAGCTCTGACCAGGTCAGCCGGGGCAGACCCGAAGGTGGCTCCCAGGCTGTTCGGCAGTTCTGGGAAATTCTCTTCCTTCTTTCTTCGAAGTTACAGATTCAGCACAGGTTATGGGATGAATACAACTCGGTCAGTGGGCGAGGCAGACACGGAGGCAAATAGAACAGCTCTGGCAGGTGGCTGTCCCTGGGCAGCGCCAAGGGAACATGGAGCAGAGACTTTCGGGTGGCAGAGGACCCAAAGGTGCTGCTCCAGGGCCCCACCTCTGCACCTCCAGGCACCCATCGTTACATCGTTGTGAACTGCTCTTTCAAGGCAGGGAGAGGTCTCCTTCTCTTGGCACCCTGGTACCCCACACTGCTCAGCATGTGCATAGAGGGGCCTTGATGGCTACCACTAACTGCAGACATCGCAGGGACGTTGGTCTTCCTGGGTGTGCAAGAACCTCTTTACCCTCAGACAGGGCTCATCAGGCACACTGACACCTCTATCAGTCCAGGGCTCCCCCAGAATAGGAACGATGTGTCTCCCAGCCCAGGCTTCTCCCTGTTGGCTGTGCTGGGCAGAGTGCACTGAATGGCTGGGAAGCACCTCCCCCCCGCATCTGCAGAATCACTACCCCGCTGCCCCATGCCTGTGGCCCCCGGGGGCCTGGCACATGTGACCATGAAGCCCCAGGATGAAGGTGGCAGCCTGGGACAGCAGGCCCACTCTGAGCAGCTCAAGACACTGACACACTCACAGCTTAGGGTTTAATCCTGCCTTTCCTCCCATAAATACAGGGCAGGAGATGATGCCCCCGTCTGACCTCCGGGACCCTGGGTCTCGGCCCCCAACAGTCCTGGCAGCCTCTTGAGTTGACTTGAGGCGTTGCGGTCAGTCCTTCAGCTCTGTCCTTCCTTCTGGATTTAGCGAGGTCAGGATGTGATGGGGAGATGAGTCAGTGCAGGGTGGGGCTGGAGGGAGTATCCCCCATTTTCCTTCCAGCCCCCTCAAATGACGATCCAAGCTCAAGGAGCCCCTCTCTGCTGTTCAGACCATTGAGCTGCTGCCTTGGAGCCTCCGGAACAGCTGCGAGAGCCAAGAATCATTATTCCAGACAAAGAGTGGGGAGCAGAGTCAATATCTAGGTTATTAAAGAGCTGGCCTTGAGAGCTGGAGCAGAGCCCAACACAGATGTGGAAAGGGGGCTCCGATGTGCCCAGCTGGCAGGCGGGCCACTGCCACCCCTCCCCCTCCCCCTCCACCGGGCTCACATTCTATCAGGTGCTTCAGGGACAGGAGGGGCAGGGACCACCGCCCGCGCCTGCCCCACGGAGGGGACAGATCTGCCACCTGCGCTGTCTGCTGTCTCTGGCTGCCACGACCCTCTCCGTGCCCAAACAGCCTCCCAGAAGTCTGTCACTCGCTAGCTGGGTCCCCTAGAGTCTCTGAGCCTCCACTTCTGTGGCTCCAGCAAGGAGCTGGGCATAGCTGCCTCCCTCTACAACACACAACTGCTCTCACCTCCTCCTCTGCTCTTGGCAGATGGAAAAGGTGTGGGTGGGCGGCAAAAGGCGCTGAGGTGGGCTAGCCCGAGGAAGGGGGGCACGGCCCTTGGGGCAGCAGCTCTACCAGCTCACGTGCTCCCCTCACTGAGTCACACGTACAAGCCACTTACCGCACTCAGGAAGGGGATGTCGAAGGCATTGCCCAGGAAGCCAAAGGCCACAGGGAAGAAGCCCCTAGGAGCAGAGGGGTGGAGGGAGAGTCAGTGGTGGCCCCGGAGGGGAGGGGAGAGGGGAGCATGACTGGGTTCCCTCAAAGGCTCAAGCTTTGCCTCCGAAGAGAGCAGGCCTCCGGGCACTGAGGACCAGTGAGGTTCTGCACCCGTTTTTGGAGAGGCAGCCAAGTGCATTGGTTAAGAATGGCGACCCCGGGGCAGACTCCTTGGTTCAGTCCTGACTCTGCCACTTGGCAGCACTGTATCAAACCCCTTAACTTCTCTGAACCTGGGTCCCGCTGTAAAAAGGGGTTGAAGATAATAGTATCTGCACCATAGGGCCTCACACAGGAGAGGCCGGGAAAATGTTTCCTCTTAACAATGTTACCGCCATTGTCATTAGCCTCCCGGCCTGCAGCCTGCTCCCCCCGACTGCCTGTGTCCGCCAGCCCCAGACTTCCTGGGCTCCAGGCACAGGGGCTGTTGGGAGCTGTGCTCATGTTCTCCCTCAGGCCTTGGCTCCCCCATGCACGGAGCCACGCTTTGCTCACAGCACCCCAGTCATATCCAACACACTCAGATGGGCCTGGCTGGGGCGGGACGTGTGATCCTTCAAAGGCAGGAGGCGGTGCGGGAAGGGAGCCCCTGTGCAGGTGGAGTGAGGGCTTAGACTTGTGAATTCTGGAAGAGCCTCGGCCCCGCTCCCCGACACCCCCTGCATCTCTAGGTGTCTGTAGTTGTGGTTGTTCTTATTACTATTATTTGCTCCAAGGTGCTGCTGCGAGGTGTCTCTGTTGGTTTAGTCTGGTGTGGACTCCGGAGTGCAGGGCCCTGCCCACACTCAGCCCTCAGCAGGGACAGCTGGTCAGGATCTCTCCTCCCCATGGAACCACAGGGTGCTCGGAAGCTTCTCCTTGTTTAGTGCTGATTCCCCACACCTATACCGCCTTTGGCATACAGCGAGGGCTTTAATCTGCTTGACCTTTTGATAAATGAATGAGAACTTATACGAATGTTGACTAGATGGATGGCAAAACACAGGTGAGAAAATTCAGCTTCTTGAAGCTGCACTCAGTGGTGTCTGTGTGGCCGGGGGCATTAGGCCTGAAACAGAGGGTGCCGTGAGAACCCAGGGGTTCCTGACCCCACTCCTTCCTGTGAAGCCAGTCCTGCCCATCCCACCCTATCGTGCTCTCCCCACCGGACCCCAGAGGCCAGAGACCAGGTATCTCGCCACCCCGCCTCCCGATAGCCTTTCTTTTCCTTAGCTCCTCCAGTCTTCCCTGAGCCCCACCTCATCTCACGAGGCCTGTCTCAGGTCCTGTTCCTCTCAGACACCTCCTTGGCCCCGACAGTGGTCAAGGTCCACTTCACACCTCACCAGGTCCAGGTCTGACATGAGCCAGGCTGAAGATGGCTGGCCCATGGCCAGAGACAGCCGGGCACGTTCAGATCCTCTGCACACTGCTTGTGAGGACTCAGGCCAGGCAGCCCCTCGAGGGCTGGCCTCCTTATCTGTTAAGCAGGGATAGTCCCCCAGACGGCTGAGCCATGATGGCCTAGTGTGGTGCCCATCAGGGGCCTGGCAAATGTCAGGTCACCACCCTTACTCTCATCTGGATCATTCAACCCAAGGGAGACCCTATGTCTCCTTCCCGGTGACAGGCCTGGTGCTGGGCACACAGTAGGTGATCAGTGTTTGCTGATGGGTGAACTGATCCCAGTTTATCATCTTGTTTCAATCCCTCTGTGGCTCCCAGCCTCTGCATCCTGACCGTGGTGGGGGTGGCCTCAGGGCCCTAGTGGGCTTGTCTAAGGCCAGGGACTTGCACTCACTTGAACAGGCTAAAGAATCCATAGGCTTCCAGGAACATGCCCAGGAGGGGCCAGCGCAGAAGCACAAGGAGCACACCCCCCAGGAAGAAGCTGGTCCCCTTGACCTTGTGCCTCTGGAAGAAGAAGAAACATGTCTTCCTCAGGCCGATGATGAAGGAGAGGCCAGTCAGGAACAGCAGCTGCAGGAGAGGGAGAGAGCATGAAGGCAAACATACCAGGCCGGCTTCCTTCCAGCAGGTTCCATACTCTTCCCCCGTGTCCAAACCTTTTGTCTTGCTGTTCCATAACCTGGAAGCGCTTTCTCCACACTCCACACACACAATTCCCTTTCCAAATTCTTTTTCACCCTCCCCAGTGGGGTGCTCTTTTCTCCAACACCTTGCTTCCTGGTAAATGTGTTTCTCTTAGCGTGACGTCCCCTCCCCCATCTCCTCTCAGTCCTGTGTGTTCATGTTAAAGTCCCAGTCCTGGGCCTCCCCTGGTGGCGCAGTGGTTGAGCGCTGGGCTGTGAAGCTGCCTGCAGCCTCTGCAGCGTCGGTTCGATCCCCGGCCACCAGCGAGGGTCCCATATGGCGTGCAAAACTCTCCTGCTGTGCCCGCTGCTCCCCTCAGCAGTGTATTTCATCAGTCTGTCTGTTCTGTTTCCTGCTCTGGCTCTGGTGAATTCTCTCACCCTCCTGCGCTTCTGACTGTACCCAGTGCTTGTATGAATAAATCTTTAAAAAAAAAAAAAAAAAGTCCCAGCCCCTAGACGGTGTGACTCCAATGGCTGGTTCAGGGCCCTGAATGAGGCCCGGGGTCTCAGATTCTTCATGTCCAGCAGTCCTCGCTGTCCGCCCCCAACCACCCTCACCTGTCCAGCCTCGATGGTGCCTCCCCTGGATGGGCATGACCTGAAGGAACTTGGGGCTGACCCTCCTGGCAATACAGACTTCAGGGGTGTTGGTGGGGACTACAGGGCTGGGAGACTCACGTTTCCAAAGGCCAGGAGCACCGAGTCAAAGTACAGGAGTATTCCGAAGAGGATGAAGAAGAGGCCGAAGCCAGCGATGCCCACGCCGATCTCTGCAAAGGGCAAGGAGGTGTTGTGGATGGGCTGTGGGAGCAGGTTGAGATGCTCGAACTTTCTCCCACTGCCACTGGCCAAGGGACCTCTAGGGTGGGAGAAGCAGTGCTCCATTTCCTCTAGGAATCTAGAGGATTCCCAGTCTCAGGGAAGGCTGGGCTGGGAAGTGAAAGAAAGGACAGCACGAATCTGGTCTGGCACCAGGAACCTGCTGGCTGGTTCTATACATCACGAGCCCCTGTCCTCACAACGGCCCAGGAGGCAGCTTGTGCCTCTCTCACCATTTCTTTTCAGCTTCCTCTCCTTTTCAAATGCCACATTCTCGGGTCATCAGGGCTGAGACACCTGGCCCCTCTTTCTGTTCTCCTGCCGTTGGGAGCCACTGACGCCCACTGCTGGCCGGATGTGAGTGTGCACGGTGGTGCCTGGTCCACAAAATGCACCAGCCCCAGAGGACCTCGCAACCACCCAGCTGTCCTTCTCAAGTGCCCTCCTGAAAACTTCACTGTCTCTTTCCTCTTCTAAACTGTCCCCGTCCCCAGCTCTGGTGAAGACCTCTTACACTTGATCGGGAGATGAGTCATGTGTCAGGAATGTGCCCATCTTTCCACCCAGGAGCCTTCACCCCAGCTGGCACCTGCTCCTTGCCCCGCCCTCCTCCACCATCAACAGGTCCCATCACTGGCCGCCACCTGCAGTGGGAGGTGCCCCCATGCTGACCGCCTGATCAGCCAGTTCGCTGTGTGTCTTTTCTGTTTTGATTTGCATTTCGGCACATTCTTTGTCTCTGTAGGAGCTGCTCAGAGCCAATGGGCACAGCCCAGAAGAGTAGGATATTAAAGCCCCCTTGTTTGGTCAATGGCTACATTTTTGACATTTTGGTACATATTTCAGATTGCTCTGCTCAAGAAGAGTCGTAACAGTAACTGGGCATGAAATTCCTTTTTTCTCAAACTTTCTCCATCACAAAAAGCAGTACATTTTAGTTATCTTTGCTGCTCTGATGGCCAGTGACATCTCATTGTGTTGCTTCATTTTTAAATTAACTTGTTTTAAGTTGTGGTAAAGTCCTCATTACATAAAACTTATCATCTTTGTATTTCTTTTTTTTTTTTTAAAAAATGTATTTATTCATTTACACAAGAACAGGGGTACAGGCCAGATGCGTAGGAGGGTGAGAGGATTCACCAGAGACAGAGCTGGGAACAGATCAGGCAGACTGACAAAATACACTGCTGAGGGGAGCAGCGGGGGAGACAGGAGAGGTCTGCTGTGCCATGTGGGATTCTCGCCGGCTGGCAGGCCGGGATCAAACCGGCGCTGCAGAGGCTACAGACAGCATCACAGAGCAGCACTCAACCCCCTGTGCCACCAGGGGAGGCCCGCCATCTTCTTATTTCTAAGTGTGCAGCTCAGGGGCATTAAGAATATTCCCATCTTGGGACCTCCCTTGTGACGCAAGGAGTTAAGCCTCAGCACTATGAAGCTATCCGCAGCCACTGCAGCATGAGTTAATCCCCAGCCAGGCAGCTACCCACATGGCGCAGCAGACTTCTCCTGTCAACCCGCTGCTCCCCTCAGCAGTGTATTTCAGTAGATCTGCCTGTTCTGCTCCCCACTTTGTCTCTGGCGAATCCTCTCACCTCCCCCCACCTTTGGCCTGTACCCCAGTTCTTGTATGCATAAATAAATCTTTTTTAAAAAATCCCATTGTTGTGTCACCACCACCATCATCCATCTGCAGAATGATTTTCACCTTGAAAATTAAAACTGTCGGGCCTCCCCGGTGGCGCAGTGGTTGAGCGCTGGGTTGCGAAGCTGCCTGCAGCCTCTGCAGCGCCGGTTCGATCCCCGGCTGCTCCCCGGCCACTGGAGGAGGGTCCTACATGGCGCACAGACCTCTCCTGCCGCCCGCTGCTCCCCTCAGCAGTGTACTTCGGTCCTTCTGCCTGCTCTGCTCCCCGCTCTGGCCCTGGTGAATTCTCTCACCCTCCCGCGCGCTTCTGACTGTACCCAGTGCGTGTATGTATAAATAAATAAATAAATCTTTAAAAAAAAAAACCAAACCTGAAACTGTTTCTATTAGGCACCTCCCCCAACCCCTCCAGCACCTTCAGCCCCTGACAGCCCCATTTCACTTTGTCTCTATGAATTTAACTAGTCTATGGACGTCTTGTTAGTGGAATCAACAGTATTTGTCCATTTGTGATTGCCTTACTTCACTTAGCATAATGTACTCAAGGTTCATCCATGTGGAAGCATGTGGCACATTTCCTTCCTTTTTAGGACCAAGTAATAGTCCATTGCACAAATATACTGCGTTTTGCCTATCCATGCCTCTGTCAACTCAGGCAACTCGACTTGCTTCTACCTCTTGGCTATCATGAACAAGGCTGATACAACACGGATAAAGAGATATCTCTTTGAGACTTTGCTTTTAATTCTTTGGGGTACACACCCAGAAGTGCAATTGCTAGATCTTACAGGGATTCTATTTTAAATTTTATTTCTTTAGGAATCGCCATGGTTTCTCCATGTTTTCCGGATCTTTGCCAACATTTGTTATTTTCCGTTTTTTGCTTTGTTTTGTTTTTGATAGCATCCATGTATGAAGTGGTATCTGATTATGGTTTTGGCTTGCATTTCCCTATTGATGAGTGATGTTGAGCATCACTCAAGTGTTTTCAAGTGTTTGTTTGCCATTTTCAAATCTCCTTTGGAGAAGTGTCTATACAATTCCTTTGCCCATTTTAAAAACAGGTCAGTTGTATTTTGTTATTGATGAATAGTAGGAGTCCTTTATATATTCATGATATATATTAATCCCTGGATATAATCCCAGACATATGATTTGCAAATACTTTCTCCCACTCCATAGGTTGTCTTTTCACACTGTTGACTATGTCCTTTCATGCACAGAAGTTTTAATATAATTCAACTTAATATTTTTTTTCTTTAGTTGTCCAAGTTTTTTTTGTGTCATATCCAAGAAATCACTCTCAAATTCAGTGTTATGAAGCTTTTCTGTGTTTTATAGTTTTAGCTCTTACTGTGCACTAAAATGAACTTTGAGTTGATTTTTATATATGGTGTAAGGTGAGAGTCCAACTTCATTATTTTGCTGTAAATATCTAGTTTTCCCTACATCATTTGTTGATGTTGTTCTTCCATTGAATGGTCTTGGCACCCTCCGTTGAAAGCAATTTGACCACACAGGCCAGGGTTTATTTCTGGGCTCTATTCTATTTCATCGATCTATATGCCAGTCCCACACTGTTTTTGTTTTGTTTTGTTTTTGTTTTTTTATAGAGGCATGTTTTATTTATTTGTTTGTTTGTTTTGTTTATACATGCACTGGGTACAGTCAGAAGTGCGGGAGGGTGAGAGAATTCACCAGAGCCAGAGCAGGGAGCAGAGCAGGCAGTAGGACTTAAGTACACTGCTGAGGGGAGCAGCGGGCGGCAGGAGAGGTCTGCGCGCCATGTGGGACCCTCCTCTGGTGGCCGGGGAGCAGCCGGGGATCGAACCGGCGCCGCAGAGGCCGCGGGCAGCTTTGCAACCCAGCACTCAACCTCTGCGCCACCAGGGAGGCCCACACTGTTTTGATTACTGTAGCTTTGTAGTAAGTTTTGAAGTCAAGAATTGTGAAGCCTCGGATTTTGTTCTTCTTTTTCAAGATTCCTTTGGTTTTGGGGGGTCTGTTAAGATTCCACATGAATTTTAGGATGGAATTTTCTATTTTTGCAAAGAAAATTCTTCGGGATTTTGATAGTGCTTGCATTAAATCTGTAGGTTGCTTTTAGTAGTATTTACATCTTAACAACATTAAGTCTTCTGATTCATGAACACAGGATGTCTATTTATTTGTCTCTTAAAATTTCTTTCAGCAACACTTTCTCATTTTCAATGTACAAATCTTTTCCTCCATGGTTAAGTTCATTCCTAAATATTCTATTCTTTTCAATGTTATTATAAAAAGAAGTGTGTCACTTCCTTTTAAAAAATTGACAACTTCAAGTTTATATTATAAACAGTTTTGACACTAGCTTCATTTACTTAACATAGCTGGAATGACTCCTTTTATTGTAAATTGTATGGTGGGTAGGGATATGGGAAGAGTATCTTTTAAAACTAAACATGTAAAACTTTATTAAAAGTGACTTAATTTATGGGCTTCCCTGGTGCCACAAGGGGTTAAGCACTGCACTATGAAGCAATCCGAAGCCTCTGCAGCATGAGTTCAATCCCCGGCCGGCCAGGGAGCAACCCACATAGCACAACTGACCTCTTCTACCTCGCCCACTGCTCCCTTCAGCAGTTTTCTTCAGTCAGTCTGCCTGTTCTGTTCCCCACTCTGTCTCTGGTGAATCCTCTCACCCCCCTGCATCTCTGGCCTGTACCCCAGCTATTGCATGCATATAATAAATAAATAAATCTATTTGCTCTAGATGACATCACTGGGACAGTGATGAGACTGGATGGGGCCTGAGGGTAGATGGTGGGAAATATGTTCATTTGAGTGGTGGCCAAGTCTTCTTGTTCTCTTTTTTGCTGCTTTAATATTTTTTTTACTGAGGTATAATTGACATATAACATATTATTTCAGGTGTGCAACATAATGATTTGCTATTTGTATAGATTACAAAATGTTCACAATTGTCTTGTTAATATCTGTGCCCACACAGTTACCATTTTTTTCTTGTGATGAGAACTTTTACACAATCATATTTCTTTATTCTGAAGGACAAAGGTATTTTAAGTCTTTATCTTATTTTAAAGATCTCTATTATTAGCTTATACCTGCCATCAAAATATGTCATTGGGGCCTCCTTGTTGGCACAAGGGGTTAAGACGTAGCATTATGAAGCAATCCGCAGCCTCTGCAGCACGAGTTCGATCCCAACTGGCCAGGGAGCAACCCACATGGTGTAGCAGACCACTCCTATCTCACCTGCTGCTCCTCTCAGCAGTGTATTTCAGTCAACCTGCCTGTTCTGCTCCCCACTCTGTCTCTGGTGAATCCTTTCACCCTTTGCACATCTGGCCTGTACCCCAGTTCTTGTATGCATAAATAAATAAATCTTTAACAAAACAAAACAAAACAAAACAAAATATGTTACTGATTCTAGTTTGATCTATCCTTCCACGGATTTAGGTAGATGTGTTCACACAGAGAAATAATGTGGACATTTTATTGGGTTTTCATTTTATTTTGTTAATATATCCCTGTGCCACCCATAACTCTCCCTTACTCGTTTTTCAAAAACAGTGTAAGTTTCTCAAATTCAAACCATTTCCTCTTACACTGGACTTCCTCCTGCAACAATAAGTTGCTAGCCCCACAGTTATTACTTTCCCTACTAGTTCACACTTCAAGGGCTGCGGCAACTCTGGAATGTTCCTGTGATGGGGCCGCCTTCTTTACAGACTACACTCGGTGCTTCCAGCCTTCACTGGAGAAACCGCACTGTGGACACAAAACCCCACAGCAAAAGGGCCAGACATGGTGCTACTCACACGCAAGCCTCAGATCTTCCTCACCTTGCACAGTCGCTTAGCGGGTTCAGTCAAATTACCAGCCTGGGGTATTTCCCCAAGTTATACCCAGGCCTGGCTGGGTGGGGTGTGTCCCCAGAAGAGACCGAGCCGGGGGATGCGGCCGGCGGGGGAGGCGCGCCCCCTGCTGGAGGTCATCCGGCGGTGCGGAGAGCCGCGGGGAGCCGGGTCAGCTTCCGGGAGGCCGGGCGCTCCAGAGCGCCGCCTAGTGGGCAGCCGGGAAGCGAGGCCCGGAGGCTGACCCCCTGGAGGGCTTCTGCCAGGGCTGCGACTGCCGGCTTCACTCCCGAGAGGCTGCGCGGGGCCCACTGCCTGCTCAGGCTGCAGAGGGCCCACTTGGCAGGCGCAGCAACCGACCAAGGAAAGCAATCTTGAACAGGCTGCTGGGTCCTTCTGGACCACAGCTATGTGGAGAGCCTCAGGGCACCATTCTGCTCTCTCTTTTTAAAAGCAATCACAAGTGGGAGGAAAAGTTGCAAGTACCATACAAAGCATTTTTCCCTGAGCCATTTGAGAGAAGTTGCTCTCTTCATCCATGTATGCTGTGGCCTGGCTTTCCTTCTCCTGGGTAGCCAGGACACCACCACCAAAGCCAGGAGATGGACGCATTTCCCACCATTTAGCCCTCAGGCCCCATTCCAGGCCCATCCCAGTGATGTCATCCAGAGCCCCTCCCGGATCACAGTGCCATCTGGTTGCATGGCTAAGTCTCTCCCGTCTGGAACTCTCTTTCCTAAACGTGACCTTGACATTTTTTAAGATCCAGGCCAGTTCGTTTGTCACTGTCTCTCTATTTGGGTTTGTCTGATGTCTAGATTCAGGTTAAACAGAAACAGTGAAGATATGTGACACTGTGTTCTTCTCACTGCACCTGTTAGGTAGCCACGATTCCAAATGGACCCATGACTGATGTTATTTCTTTAATTACTTGATTAAGGTGCCATCTGCCAGTTTCCTTCACTAGAAAGCTCCTTTCCTCCTGCACCTGATCCCACCAGGATGCCTTTCGTACGTGCCTGGCCCCCAGTGTGAACCAGCCCTGAGCTAGGGCTCTGACACAGCCTTCTACCAAATGGCTCTGGGACTGAATTATGCAGGAGGACGAAGGAGGGACATGGGAAGAGGAAACATTAGCAGTGATTCAGAGTAATAACTGTAACAGTAATGAACACACGTGCCGGGCACAGTCCAAGCACGTGGATTAATTTCATTTTCCTAAGTGCCCACGAGGCAGGTCTGCGGTTAGACCCATTTCACAAGTGAATGGAAACACGGAGAGGTTAAGTCACTTGCCCAGGGGTATACAGTCAGCAGCTGGCAGGCCCAGCGTTTGACTCTAGCAGTCTGGTTCTAGAAAAAGTGCCTTTATCCACCCAGTCCAGTCCACTTCCGCCCCACACCCACCACAGAAATTGCTCTTGCTTTGTGAGTTCATGTTGCCAAATGCAATGCACAGGCGTCAATCCTATCTGTCATTCTCATCCTCCCTTCTTGATAGATCCTTCTCTTGGCTTCTGTGGCCTGGTTTCTTCCTGTTGGTCTGACCTCTCTCCTTGCCAGCTCCCACTTCTCTCTCACCCTCTTGGCATTTGAATCACTCAGGGCTTGGGCCTGAGTTCACGTCTCTGCTCACTCCATTTTCACACATCTTCCAATGTCTTTGAGTTTTCATTTTATTTTTGTGCAATGTATTGATGGAAACATGGCAGAACAGTCGAGTAGGCTCCAAGATGAGTTTTCCTGCCTCAAGGCCTCATGTGCTGACAATGTCGATATTTACCTTTCTAGTTCATGCCTCTTTTGAGCTTCCAAACTCACATCCAGCTGCTGTGTTGAAATATCTGCCTGGTTTTCTCTCTCCAAGCCATCTTGAATGCAACAGGCCTAAACAGAGCTTCCTTCTTAGATTTGTTCTTCCTCTGGTTTTCCCCAAATGGATCAATATGTCACCGCCAGCCGCCCAGCAGCAGAGCCCTCCTCTCTGCTCCTGCACCCTGTCCCCGTTCAAGCCACAGCTAAGTTTTATTGCTTTGTCTTCCCAAACACCTCTGGAAAGCTGTTCATTTCTGCCCACTCTTAACACTTGACTCCAAGTCACTCTTACCTCTCTCTGGGCTCCTCTAACATTTTCTAGTTTCCTGCTTCCTTCCCATCACCCTCTTTTCCGTTGGCTACCTAGCAGCCAGAGGTGTTGAAAAACACACACTCCCATCATTATAGCGCACTGCTTGGAATCCTCTCGGCTTCCCATTGGCCTTGGAATGAAACAAAGTCCTCCCATTCATTCCTTGGCAGACATGGGTCCTGCAGGAGGGGCCAAGGCCTGTTTGTCCATTTTCATCTCTTGCTACTGTGCCCTTCACCTGCCACACTCCCACTTCACTGTTTCCAAGATGAACCTTCCTGCCTCAGGACCTTTGAATGTGTGGTTTCTTCCCACTTGTCATCTGCCTGAGGCACACTCATCTCCAGCTCTCAGGGCAAATATTCATTCCTTAGGGAAACTGGTCCCCCTGCATTCCCTGACCTCAATCTGGTCCCCTCATTTCTCTGTCTCACAGGACTTAGCACATTTTGGTTTGATAAAACGGTGGCTCAGGCCTCAGCCCTCTTCTCTCTCTACTTTTGTTCCCTAGGTCTCCTGCACCCCATTTCTCACCCCAGAAGTGCTCCCCCTGTTCCAGACCTCACCCATCCATTGTCTATTAACCCAGGATCCAGCGCAATCTTTTAAAAATATAAATATTACTCCTTTACATAAAACCTTCCAATGGTGGGCCTCCCCGGTGGCGCAGCGGTTGAGCGCTGGGTTGCGAAGCTGCCCGCAGCCTCTGCGGTGCTGGTTCGATCCCCGGCTGCTCCCCGGCCACCAGAGGAGGGTCCCACATGGCGCGCAGACCTCTCCTGCCGCCCGCTGCTCCCCTCAGCAGTGTACTTCGGTCCTTCTGCCTGCTCTGCTCCCCGCTCTGGCTCTGGTGAATTCTCTCGCCCTCCCGCGCTTCTGACTGTACCCAGTGCATGTATTAACAAACAAACAAACAAACAAACAAACAAACAAATAAAAATACATGCCTTTTTAAAAAATATAACAAAAAAATAATAAAAACCTTCCAATGGTTTTTAATCTTAAGGTGATAAAGCCAAAGTTCTTAAATATTCTGGCCTCTCGGTGACTTCCTAGACAGAGTCCTACCATCTTCCCAGTTCTTAATTTGCTCCAGTCACATCAGCCTCCTTGTTTTTCAAACTAACCAAGTAGACTAGTGCCTCAGGGCCTTTGCACAGGTTGTCTGATTCCTAGAACATCTTTTCCCTCCAGATCACTGTTGGGCTTTGCTTCCTCACGTCCTACCAGCTCTGATAAAGGCACCTGCTTGGTACAGCCTCTCCTGCCCACTCTATACCAGACAGTGACCCTCCCAGTTCCTACACTCTGGCCTCTTTACCCTGTTTTATTTTTGTCCAGCGGAGGTATTGCCACCTGACATGGTGACCTCTTTATCTGTCTCCCCCCTCTGCCCTCATATCCCCCCTCTAGAATGACAGGGGATCAATGTCTGTCCCATTCACTGTTGTATAGTCTGCCAGACATAGGGCTTGGCACAAGGTGGAGACAACGTGTGCAGTGAATGAGTATTTTCTCCAGTTCACAGATGAGACACTGGGGCTCAGAGGCTTTCAGTAACTCACCCAAATGAAACTCAGGGACCAGCTCTACCTGCTTTCCCATATCTGTGCACTCTATATCCGTGATCTCCCAAGGAAGGGGAAGGGTGTTTAGGAATGAGATTTTGGGAGGGGAATGGGGTTCGTTTCTAAGAAGGGACCCAGGGCCTCAGGTGACCCTGAGTTTGTGGGGGAAAGATGTCTGAGTGAGCAGAGGCCGTCTCCATCCGCCTTTGCTGCATCGCTGGTCTAAGAACTCTGAATGGGTGGGGCCAACTTGAGTGGTAAACTTGAGTGGTAAACTTGCGTGTTTCCCCAGACACCGGTTTCTGGGGCCTTGAGCGAGCCCCACTCACTAGAAAGCTGGGGAACCACACCCCCTGACTCTGCTGTCTGGAGGATGCCAACACAGCAGCTCCAAGTCACTGGCTCCAGAGGTCGCCTCGCCTGGAAAGTTCTCCAGAGAGCAATCTGGGCCTAGAGGGGCAGCACCTCCCCTGGGTCCTAGCCCGGAGACCCCAGTCCAGCCCAGCCCCCCGGACACCACTCACTCTGCCATTCCGTGACGGTCACCATGCCGTGGGCTGCCTTGGGGGGCCTTCTGGGTGGAAGCTGGCAAGCGGTGAGGAGCGGAAAGGACCGAGCTGGTGCATGCTCCGGGGCCACTGACCCTTGGTAAGTTGTGAAATGAACTCTGGTAAATCATTAACTCCCCCGCCACACACACACACACACACACACACACACACACACACACACACACAAATGGGGCTTCATTGAAGTCTCAGGCTCAGCCCTCCTAGTTCTCCCAAAGGCCCCGCCCCCACTTAGCCCCGCCCCATTTAAGCTCTGCCCCGCCCACCACGGTAAGGCCACGCCCGCCGACCCTCCCTCCTCCTCCCTGCCCTGGCCCCCAGCCTGAATTCAGCTCCTCCACAAAACTTGGACTGTGTCTGGAAGAACTGGGGATTGGAATGCCCAGGCTCCTAACTTGGTTTGGTGTAGGATGTGGGAAGAATTGGGACCTGTTTCTCTTTGGGGAAGTACTACATTTGCCTTGTAAGCGGTTTACTGCCTTGTGGTAGTGCCTACACTGGACGCTAGGGGGCGACAAGGAACTAGCGCAAAAACCTGTTGCTGACGGTCTCTTGGAAGTGATGGATTCTGTTAAAATCAAGAGCAAAAAATTTGCCTCCCTGGTAGTTCAGGCTATAAAGTCTCAGAGCTATCAAGCTACCACCAGCCACTGTTGCATGAGTTTGATCCCCAGCCAGGGAGCTATCCACATGGCGCAGCAGACCTCTCCTGACTCGCCGGCTGCTCCCCTCAGCAGTGTATTTCAGTCACTCTGCCTGCTCTGTCCCCGCTCTGTCTCAGGTGAGTCCTTTCACACACATCCCACCTCTGGCCTGCACCCCAGTTCTTCTGTGCATAAAGAAATATAAATAAATAAAATCAAGAACAAGAGCAAAAAGATCCCCCAGGGAATTTAGACACAAAGGGCTTTGCCCTTTTTTGCCTCAGCGGAGTCCAGCTTTGGACTGAGAGGTTGAGCTTTGGCAGATATAGCCCAGAATTTGGGCTGGAGGTGGGACTGGACAATTTAAGGGGCCCGGTGCTAATCCAGCCGCCAGCTGTGTAGACCGGGGTGTGTGTGTTCCTCTCTTTGGACCTGGAAAAGAAGGGGAGGTAGTGGGGAATATTCTTTCTCCCATTGGGGCACAGTGGTTTTCAACCCCTGAAATGAAGTACATAAATGATGGGATCAATCTACACACATCATTTAAAAAACAAAACAAAACAAAAATAAGGCCAGTTTTAAGGAGAAAACACGAATAATTTACAATAAAACATGATATCGCTGAACATATAAGTGCCTGGGCAAGACTTACAGGAGGACATATACGAAATAGGCAGATTGTTTACACCTACTTTTTTTTAAGAGGTCTTTTTTTTTAAAGATTTATTTATTTATGCATACAAGAGCTGGGTTACAGGCCAGAAGTGTAGGGGAACAGAGTGGGGAACAGAAGAGGCAGACTGACTGAAATGCACTGCTGAGAGGAGCAGCAGGTGAGTCAGGTGAGGTCTGCTGTGCCATGTGGGTTGCTCCCTGGGTGGCCGGGAATCGAACTCACGCTGCAGAGGCTGCGGACAGCTTCATAGGTTGCATCTTAACCCCTTGTGCTACCAGGGAGGTCCTGTTTACACCTACTTATAATAAAGTAGTTTGAATTTAAGTGAAATAGAAGACCAGAGCCACTGTATTTAAATATATAAACAAACCCAAGAGGATAAAAACACTAGAATAAAAACTAATGTTAGGTAAGCAGTAACAAACTAAATGTACTTGCATATAAAAATAGAGAAAGGGAAATAATCGCCATTGAAGCAGAGATAGCAAAACAAGGCAGATTAGAGCCAGCCTAGTGAAGTCTGGAGGTGAATGCAAAGGTGACTTTTGTTAAGGGAGCCCGTCACGCAGCGGTGTGCGGTGGTACTGGCATCTCACAGACACGAGATCTCAGTCCTAAACCACCATTGTGTGTGGAGTTAAGTTCAGCCTGTTGGATTTTCAAAGACCTTGCAGATCATATATTTCCAGTGGGCATTTATTTAGGATGGATTAGAAAGGGCAACCCTCATGTAAGTGGTTTAGAATAATTGCTTGTGTACCCCTGGGATGGTTTAGGAAAAATGGAAAACAGCAGGCAACTCCCCAAAACAACTCCACGTGTACATAGTACGCAGCTATGGACTGCAAAAGCTTTAAGAATATAAAGGATGGGGCCTCCCCTGGTGGCGCAGTGGTTGAGTGCTGGGTTCTATCCCCTCAGTGCCGGTTCTATCCCCGGCCGCCGGCGAGGGTCCCTCATGGTGCGTAGACCTCTCCTGCCGCCCCACTGCTCCCCTCAGCAGTGTATTTCGTCAGTCTGCCTGTTCTGTTCCCCGCTCTGGCTCTGGTGAATTCTCTCACCCTCCCGTGCTTCTGACTGTACCCAGTGCTTGAATAAATAAATAAATGAATCTTAAAAAAAAAAAAGTGCTTGAATAAATAAATAAATGAATCTTAAAAAAAAAGAATATAAAGGATGGCGATAATATGAAATAAGTTCTTAAAACTTTTTGTCACTGAGAGTCCCTGCCTTTCGGGTCTCCTTGCTCTCGTGGTTTGGTTGTGTCAGTCTCATCTGTTAAATACTTGCAGTACGTCTCTTTGCTATTTTGCTCAGACCCTACTGTATCAGAACTGTTTTAAGCAAATATACAATTAGTTGGAATGTTAACCCATTGTGTAGACAATGCAATGGAACAGATTGTTCAATAATTTTGAGACATCTCTATTTCATCTCAGTCTCTTCGTAATAATTTTCTCCTAAGTTACTGAGTGGTTCATAAAGGTTGTTTATTTATTTTTGTATTTTAAAGATTTATTTAGGCATACAAGAACTGGGGTGTAAGCCAGAGGTGCAGGGGGTGAGAAAATTCACTAGAAAGAGTGGGGAGCAGAACAGGAGAATCTACTGAAATACACTGCTGAGGGGAGCAGCGGGGGAGACAGGAGAGGTCTGCTGCACCATGTGGGTTGCTCCCTGGCCGGCCGGGGATCGAACTTGTGCTTCAGTGTCTGGTGATAGCTTGAGAGCACTGTCTTTAACCCCTGCGCCACCCGGGAGGCCCTCATGAAATTTATTTTTAAAAAAGTTAGACGCTTGTAAACACTATCCAGTGTGACTGGCTCATACTGTTGTAGGGTTACTCCAATTATACTTTTTTTTAAAAAAAGATTTATTTATTTATGCATATAAGAGCTGGGGTACAGGCCAGAGGTGTGGGGGGTGAAAGGATTCACCAGCGACAGAGTGGGGAACAGAACAGGCAGACTGACTGAAATGCACTGCTGAGGGAAGCAGCGGGCCAGTCAGGAGAGGTCTGCTGCGCCATATGGGCAGCTGGAGGATTGAACTCCTGCTGCAGAAGCTGCAGATATCTTCATAGGTTGCATCTTAACCTCTTGCGCCACCAGGGAGGCCCCTAGTCCAATTGTACTTTTAAAGTCACACAGGCTGGAGGACCAGTATTTCCTCTGAAAGACTTTCCCATGCATTGCTGCCACTAAATGCCAGAAAGAATTTGCCCACTTTTCACGGAGACATCTTAAGCTTAACTTAATTTCCCAAACTTCCCCCAAAAGCTCCATGTCAGTCCCACTAAAACCACTGGTAGGTTAGAACTTGGGCTTGAAAGTCAATGTGCCATGAACATCATCCTAGCACTGGGAGACCTTTGACAGTTTAGTTATCCTTCTTGTGCCTCAATTTCACGGACGGCAATATTACCAGTAACAAGGACATATGTCGGGAATTGGAGAGTGAATACATGTGGGTGCACAGAACTGGGGACCTGGCGCAGAGCAAACAGTTGAAAAGCCATTGTTATTACTCTTCTACTATAGTTATAATAACTGCTATTGTCACTAGTATTACTATTATAGTATGAAATGCTGTTCTGTAAGACTTCTGCTTCCATCTTCAGTGTGGGTCTAAACCACTCCCACAGGTCTCTAAAACAGCAGCCTGGAATAGTGCTCCCCAACCATGGAACCCACCTGTCCCAGGGACTGGGCTCCCCTGGAATGAACCTCTGATAGCAGCATGGGGTACTGGGGTTGCCATCAGAAAGAGGGTTAGCCACACCCCGCCCTCTTGGAGAGGAGTCCCATCCCGGGGCACAGGAGTGAGGGGCCCAGGAAGAAGGCCGGGGCTGGGGGGGGAGGCCCTGGAAGGGTGGGCTGGTCCTCAACCAGCTGCCACCTGGGGAGGGGGCGGGGTCTATTACTCCCTGGGGCTGGAGGATTAGAAGTGAGCAGGAGAAGGACACTTCAGACACAGGGCACTGGCAACATCTTCCAGGAAGGCTATGGAGCCAGAGAAGAGACCCTGGGAACATCCTCCCTCTTCCCTCTCACCAGCACCAACTCACATTTGTAAGTGAATATGAGTTTTCAAAATGTTTTTCATTCATTTTCTCATTTGACTTTCTCGAGAGTTCCATAAGCTGGTAGTTCATGTCCTCCCTTACATGAGAAAACTGAGACTCAAGAATTGTAGTGACTTGTCCAAATTACCACGTGGCTGCAGGGAGGATCGGGACACATCACCTTCCCCACCATCCTCACCGTTCTGCAGTCAGCCACTTCTGCACTGGGGCCTCAAATGCCGTGTGGCCCAGCCTGGGTGTCCTGGTAGCGGCAGGGTCTGCAGCCCACCTGCCTGACTGGTCATGGCCTCTTCAAGCATTGATACAGGACCACGCAGCTCCAGGGCTCTGCTCTCAAAGGGCATTCTGCTGGTTGCTTTTCGTTTCTATTTCCTGTCAACCCTGCCTTTTACAAACCCCAGGCTGACTTTATCAACGGTTGATCTGGGCCAGGAGGTGGAGCAGGCTGGGACCTGGGGCCTCAAATGCCATGTGTCTTGGAGTCTTGTGTCTTGGAGGGGAGGAGCCAGCCCTTGTTTGTGGGTACAGCGACACCTAGTGGGTCCTGTGTTCTCACATCCTCCCTCCTCCCCAAGCTGCTGTGGCCCCGGAGGCTGGCGAGTTCTCCAGTACACCCGTTGCAGCCCCAAGGTCTGTGGTGAGCCTGCATCTGGTT